TAACACTGAAAAAGTACATATTATTGATAGAAATTTTAAAAAAATGTTTAAAAATCAGATCTTTAAAAATTATCATGTATAATTATTTCAAAAAAGCGGTTCGCTTACTTTCTGTTTGAAGTTAATGACAATTATAAAAAAACATTTCTGAAAAACGCTTCAATTTTTTTCTTTAGATGTGTTCCTCGAATAGTAGAAAGTATGCTTAAAAGAATTGCGTATGTATAATTTTAGTTGAAATTTTTGAAATTTCAAAGGTTATAAATAATGTGAGAAAGGTTGTGCGGTTGTAGCACCACAATTATTCACTGAGAAAGTGTTCTTCGTTCTTTGGATCTCACGGGATTAGTAATGAAAACGCTTGGTGTTTAAACGAGAACGCTCTGAGTCGCTGTCAATATGAAACAATCCTCTTTTTACTTTCTCGCCCTTATTTCGTGAAAAGAGAAAGTATTGTAAACGTGCACCGGAAAACTGCGAGTTTTCGATAGAAAAACTCTTTTTATCGTGCCTTGGTAACGAAAAATTACATAAGATTTTTGAATTTTAAGACTGTGCTGCATAGCAGACGTCGATTCGTTATCTCAAAATGTTTCACTGCAGAGCAGTTGCAAAAATTTTCCTTCGGGAGGGGCTCGACAAGTGATTAATTAAGACTCACTGACATTTAAGACTCACTGAAGGAGACCATTTTGCGTAACATTATGTTGAAACATTACGTTGTACATTACGGAATAAATTTTTGACAAAATTTAACATTTACAGATTGTGAAAGATCTTGATATCATTTACTTACGGTATTTTTGTCTGAATAAATGTGAAATAAATTGACTTAATAATTGCAGTCTTCAACTGGCAGAAACGGGAATTCTCTCATAGAGAAAAATTAACTTTTAACATTAACAAATGCGGAATTTATTTGTACTTCAACTGGAATATCAGCGACCGGGTTTTCTCCTTAGCAATGGTCCTGGCCCGTCAAGTTTGCGAAACGCGAAAATATGGATTAAATGTCAAATAAAGTGTTGTAGCTCTTTTGTACTTAACAAATCACGATATAACTGGACAATCTGAAGTTGTCGTACAGCAAGGTAGTATCTCAAACTGCATTTGGCAAATGTCACTCTACCTGGGAAGCAATATGTACATTAGTTGTGGGTGCGTTTTCATTCCTGTACTCGCGAGGCTACTGTAGATGGTGCGTATTCTGAAAAAAAAACGCTAGTATGAAAATGCAGAGTAGTGGAAAAAACATTAGACTGCATCGAATTTTCTGTTTTTGAAATTATATCTTTAAAATTATTTTATATAATATATCAATAGTCCAGTATATTATAAACATATATTCCTAAGTGTGCTTTAACTCTAGTCGCCTAAGTGTGAACAAAAGAACAAAAAAAAGTTTATTCTTATGCTTGTTGTCAAAGTATTTACAAGACAGCAATAATTTTGGCAAATAATTTAACGTTCTAATTCGTCTGAAGCAAAGCTGAGATTTTGCATCATATCAAAATATTATGTGAAACATGTAAAACGCCAATAAATGAGTCTTACTTTCTCGGTACGAGGTAGAGAAAAAGTTATGTAATGCTACGTGAAATAACGGCGAATTTTCGGCAGAAAACCTCCTAATACAGGGCCCCGGTAACGAAAAAGTGGATAAATCCAGTTGGTAAACTAAATAAAAATCCTCCAACACGTAGCGTAGCCTCAATATGTTTTGTGGGTAGATAGATAAAAATCGAATGACGGCAATAAGTCTGTCGGTTTGTGAACAATGCAAGCGGCTCAGCCATTCAGTCAATTTTCTCCAAAATTGATATTCAATCGATCGGACTGATGTCAGGGCACCTTGAATTTGAAACCGATATTTAAATTTCGGGGATACTTTACATGAAGCCCCTGTGGCACTTTCCAAATAAAACAAATGCTCTATCGATTTTGATTAAATTTAGTTGTTGGATAGTGGGAAGGACATTTAATGGGACGAATGGTGCAAGACTCATGTACCTTAAAATCCCTGATTTTTCGAAAATTGCAAAAGTTCAAAATTTTTTCAGAGTTGTCATACAACTAAGAAGGATATTTTTTCGCTTAATGAAATATGTTTCTTAAAGATAACTTTTGAAATAAGGTCATATACAATTTTTTGAAAATTTGAGTTTTTTACGTTATTGTGTGTGAAAATACGGATGAGAAAGTTCGTGCTGTTTTAGCACTACTAATTTTTACTTTTAGCACCTTTGGGGGAATGACGGTTTTGTTTTTCACCGTAAAATTTGTGAGTCTTCCCGCCCGTATTAACGGATTTTAAGAACAGCCAATTAACGGATTTTATTGGCCGAGGCGCGAAGTAAATATTTTCAGCGAGTAATTTAGTGAATACAAAGGGACACTAGTTTCAAAACTGAACGATTATCTTGTTAATATGTGCTCGTTAATATTTATATTATATATTACTATATAATATAATATAATATAATATAATATAATATAATATAATATAATATATAATATTGCATATATTATAATCTTATAAGTATACTATTCAATGAATTTAAGTGTGATGTTAAGCGAGTAATCGTACAATACGAAAACAATCAGTGGCATTAAAGATCGCAACTGTGAAGCAGCGGTACCACCCTGATCGTCCCGTCGCGTCACATGGAGTTTCATCGGTCTACTTCCCAACTATTCGCGACCGCTCAACCTCCCACTTCCCGGCGATCGGCAGGAAGGCGCGCATGAGACTGGCAGGAGCGCGGGCGAGGCGACGCCCCTCGAGATGAGTGATGTGACAGGAACGGGTGTTTCCAAAGCGGCGCGCGGGCGAGCCAACGAGGCAGTCTATAAATCATTGGCGGCGGCGGCGCGGCGCGGTGCGGCCGCCCGCCGGGGCACGTGCGCCGCGACCCCGCGCGTCGCCCGGACGCTGCGACGCGTCGCCGCGTCGTCGCGACACGGGACCGCCGCCGCCCTCGGCCCCTCGCCTCGGCTCCCGCGTCGCCCGGCCGCTCGCCTCGCCTCGCCCTCGTCTCACGCCCTCGTCTTCGCCCTCGACTTCGCCCTCGTCTCGCCTCGTCGCTCTCGCCCTCGCCTCCTTTCGCCTCGCCTCGCCTCGCTCTCGCACTCGCCCTCGCTCTGCCGCTCTCTCTCCTTGCTCATCGCTCTCGCTCTCGCTCTCGCCCTCGCCTCCGCCTCGCCTTCGCCCGCCCTCGCCCTCGCCTCCCTCGCCCTGCGCCTCTCGCCCCTCGCCCGCCCTCCGCCCGTCGCTCTCCTCGTCTCGCCTCGTCCTCGCTCTCGTCCTCGTCTCGTCTGTCCTCGCCCGCACCCTCGCTCCTGCCTCGGCTCTCTAACGTACTCCTCACCTGTGCCCTCGCCGCGCCTTCGCCCGCCTTCGCCCGGCCCTTGCCCCGCCCGCCTCACCGCGCTCTCGCCTCGCGCCCTCGCCTCTCCTTCGCTCTCGCCGCACCCTCGCCCGCGCCCTCGCCGCGCCCTCGCCCGCGCCCTCGCCCGCGCCCTCGCCCCGCCCTCGCCCGCGCCCGCGCCCGCCCCCTCGCCGCGCCCTCGCCCGCGCCTCGCCTCCCCGTCGCCGCCCCTCGCCCCGCCTCAGGCACCCGTCTGAGGCATCTTCAACAAGTCCCAGCCTAGGGGAGATCCATGCCTAGATGATACACGATGACGTGTGATGTGACCCAGTGTATGATTTGATCGACGGAGATTATTTAGCTCAATGTCTCCTAATGAGGTGGTATTAAGCACCGTAGCTATGGGTGTAGTTCACCGTAAATGGACTCGAGAAACGTTTATTGATAAATAAAAATGATGTGTTGCGTTATTTTTGTACTCACAAATTACACTTAGAAGAGTAATTAGCCATTTTATAGTTTCTGCAGCAGTCAGTAGATATACCGATAAAATGGGATATGTAATGTGAATGAATTGATCTGCGACGAATTATTTAAAGTATTTTCCTTATGATGGTAAGGAAGACCCAGAAACTTGAATTTGATTTATAATCGTGTTCCAGAGGCTTTTCCATGCCACTGCTCTGAAGGCAGAAGAAGTAGTCGCAATGTAAAAATCTAAGGGCGTTTTGTTGTAGTTTAATTTTTGTTTAAATGGGTAGCCTCAAGAAATTATGTATTTGTTTCATAAGTGCGATCAAGGAGCGCTTGACCATTGTAGATGGCAGACAAGCCTACACAAATGATTATCTACGATTTTTACGCATGAGAGTTTCTCATACGATAAGATCAGATCATACAAATCAACTTACTTGAAACTGCAGAGGATATTGGTATTATATTCTAGTAGGAATGAGTAGATATCGTAATAAAGATTTATGAAGTCTGTAATCAATGGAAATAGCAGAATCTGATAAGAATTAACACAGTAGTATAAGACATGATTCATATTAGATACACAAAAATCAAAAATAAATATAAATTAATTAATAAATTGTCGAAACAAGAAAATTGTATCATCGATATCAATTTAATATCATAATTCTGGTCATTATTATCGTCGTATTTGTGATAATATTTGTCACAAAATTTGAAAGCAATCTAAGAAACGTAATATGATTGGGAAAATGCATTCATGTCAATACCTGTACGAATACTACGTTCAACATCACCATGATATGGCGATATCCATCATCCCAAAACGTAGAAGAGGCTTCATTTCTGTGAGCCAATCATCAACGACCCCACGGCGTGGACACGTCTACATGTGCAACTAAAACAATCTCCGACTCCTAATGCTCCTTCAAAGTATCCCGAAGGTAAAGAAAGCCGGCTAGGACGCACGCATCGCTTTGACAGACAGCGTCGAGAATCCTAACCTATTGTTTTCCGTTTTGCCTGTTGTATTTTCCATCTCAGGCCACCGCCGGAATAATGGGGCGCCGGTGCGAAACGCGAGCGGGGGCGTTGAGGGAGCGGGGACCGGGCCCGGGCCCGGCCCCTGCGGGACGCCCGTGTCGGAGTCGTACTCACCACCGGGCGCTGCCTGTCGGGCGGGCGGTCGCTCAGTCCATGGCGGCGTGCGCGGGCCGCGTCGCCGTCGCCTGCCTGGCGTGTGGGGCTGTGGCTGTCGCTGGCTGGGCCGGCCGGGCCGGACCGGCTGCGCTGGCCGCGCTGGCTGCGCTGCTGGTGTTGGTGGCGCTCGCGCCGCTGCCGCCCGCCGTGTGACGCTGCTGCGAGAGGCGCGGGCGGCTACGCCGCCGCCGCCACCAGCGGCCGACGCGGCGCCCGCGACGACGCCGGCGCGGACGCGGGTCCCGCACGGCGCGCGCGCGCTCGCCGCTCCGCTCCTGGTGCGCGCGCAGCCCCGCCCACCCCCTCCCCGCCGGCTCCTGCTCCTCGCTCGGGGTACTCTTTTTCCGCTTTCAACTTTCTATTAGTCTTTTGAACATAGCTCTTTCAATTTCTGTTGCCTTTAATAATAATAATAATAATAATAATAATAATAATAATAATAATAATCTATAAGTCACCAACACCATCACAATTGTTGGTGTGTACCTGTAATATGGCAACTTGTTTTCCAGAAGCTTACAGTTTATTGCCATCCTTTGGTGAAGAATTTTTGCTACCTGGTCATGTCATTGTAATTAGTTTGCGCTATGTTTCTGCAGCCGGATGTGATTTGTTTAATTGTCTCGCTGGACAGATGACACCTTATACATTAAATCATTTTCCTGAGTTTATTTTTTAAGAATGTATTTACGGTAATTTCTTGTGTTGATGACCTGGTCCTGGATTTCTGTCGTGAATCCGTCGATTTCGGTAAAGAGGTCGTCATGGAACCCTGGAACCATGGAAGCCAGACGTTCGACGCTTCTAAGTCGTGGAGTTGTTTCAAATCATTGCAAGGTTTCACATGGACTATTATTTGTTTCCATGAGTGGTATTCGTCAGAAGGTTCAGTTGCAATATTAAATGAATCTTAAACATAGTGGAGCAAGTTTATTTATTATTATTATTATTATTATTATTATTATTATTATTATTATTAAGTCAGCCCCGTGTCGCAGATGATAGCTGCAGCCGTCTCTCCAGGATATAATACAACAGGGCCTCGGAAGAGAACCTGTAGCGTGAGTCTTCTCTAAGAATGAGAGAAGCAAATTTTCCTCTTACTTCTGGGAATGCAAAACAAACGACAATGCCGGTCCAGAAAAGACGCTCTAGGGAACCCGAGATATGTTGTTTACGTTGTAGTCTATAAAGTGAGATCAGAAGTTCTTGGGCGTTCTACTAGAATTACAGTTTTGAATACTTCCTTCACCACTCGACACCGGGTTGCCAGTACCTTTGATTTCAGTGTAAAGTGTTTTTCACTTTTAAACAATTATTAAAAACGAAAATTTTTGGAGATAGCAATTTTTTGAGAAGTCTTTCGTATCCTTCTAGTACATTTTTTGGGAGTTTGTTCTTCTGAGTACTTTAACTATTCAGAACTTCCCGTATCATCTGCCAGGGAAGCTAACGTACTAACGTTCAAAAACGTATCTCGTACTGAACTAATGGTGTCTCAGAAAGGCCGAGACTTCCTCGAACTAGTTAGTTTTCTAATTTCTTTGGTCTGGGCTAGCTTTTCGGTTCTGTCCCAGCCTCTTCGCCGCTGGCATCTATCACCCCCCAAAGGACATTTTCTTGAAATTTTCTCAACTTCTTGTTTCCTAGTGGCGGAACAGAATTATTACTGTACGAATATTAAAGGAGAGTGAAACCTCGTCCTATGTGGAAATTTTCGTAGAAAATTGTTTAGCTGTTTTAAAGAAAATGTCGTTTAAGCGTAAATGTAAATGCAAAATTTGAAATTCATTTCCAAATTTTCTTTTTCGAAAAACTTCATTGGAAGCCATTTGAAGAACGTTCGCTCTCAAATAAATGCTTACAAAACGCTGGAAATGTGCATTTTAACGGCGTGAGAGATATTTAAAAAATGAAAAACAAAAGAATACAGAAAAATTCGTTTTATGCCATCTTAAACAGAGTATTTATCATTATCCGTACGAAAAGGTTGAAGAAAACATTTAGAGCTGCTTTTGAGAAAATGGCGAAAATGCGGAATTTTGAGCTCATTTACACAGAAAACTTTCTAGATTGCAAGAAACTATACAAGAGATCATTGAAAGTTCTTGTTTGAAAAAATTCGATATTGTATACAAATCGTATATACTGTAAATATTAACGACGTGAGAGAGATATCAAAATAATTTTATTTTTGTAATTTTTTGAAGGACACAACAAAAGGATATAGCAAAGTGGCGTTTCTGTCCTCTTATACAGTACTTTTAGAACTATTCTTACAAAAAGTTTAAAGAAAAAATTTAAAATCCGTTTTTTAGAAACTTGATTTGGTTATTTTTAATATAGCACGCAATGTTGTGCAAAGCTACTAAAATTTTCAAAGAAATGTGCATTACCTCAATGAAAGAACTAATTATGGATGAATATTGTTACTTGAAAGAAAAACCACTATCTTCAGTTTCGTAGTTGTATAAAGACGCCGAAAAAGAAGGAATCTTTTGCCGTTTTCAAAAATTCAGACTTAAGTCATATTATATTATTAAGCATATTATGCATTCCTGCGAGAAATTTAAAGGAAAAATTTGGCACCATTGTCGAGAAAAGTTGGAAAATTTCCGTGGTGTCTTCATGTAAAGACCCCCAAAAATTAATAAATGTTTTTGAAAATAGCAGAGCTTTGAGTGAGGTTAGATCGACAGTGGTTTGTTCGGCTTGAAAAAATCCTACGATAGTAGTAAAAACTATAGTTTAGACGCTAATATACACAGACGACAGACGGGAGAAGACGAACGTTTAGAGAAAACACAACAATTTTTCAGTATCAGGGGACCCCAAAACGTGTATTTCCATTGAAATATCGAAATCATTTTTTCCAAGCATTACATACCTTTCTCTATACGACATATATACGTACGCGTATGTTTACGAGAAAGTAAAAAATCACTTAAATTGTTGGATTTCCAGACTTATTTCCAGATTAACATGTGTAGGGACATGCTGTGAAGATATGGGCCACATGATGGAGAATAACAAGTGGAACATGTGGTGAACAGTCGTTTTCTGCGAAATGATATCATTTCCAAACTTCCATAACATTTTTGAAGGTTGAGATTTTCTGAGTACATACATAAACTCCGTCCTCACATACACATTATAGTGATTACAACCGAATACGATTGTATTGAATGACTGATTACAACCTTACCCCATTATATTAATTGATTGATGACCTTAGTATTTGACTGGGCGCGTCAACTGCTAAGGTCATTACTTTCACAAGTGTAGTGCATGTATGTCTATAAAAACAGTGGGCGGAGGCTGTGATTTTCCCCGTTGGATGGTGAGAACCGATGCCGACATATTCATCGACCTGCGGAGTTTTCCTCAACAGGGTATCTCCCACCAGCTGGGCATTACCCCAGCCGGGACAAACTCTAAGCTCCCGACCGGGAGTGTGATAGTGTAGTACATGTGAGTGTAGATGTGTGTAAGTAAGGGCTGAGGAAAAGAAAGAGGGAGGAAAGATCCTTCGCGGTCCGTGGCCCGTTTGTTAGGGTACTACTCCGGCATTCGCCTGGCGTTTCTCGACGAAACCACGGAAAACGACAGATCGAACCACCCGGCCGCAATATTCTCCTCCAGACAGTGAGAGAGTTCGACCCAGTTTTGTAGCTAGTGTTGAAAGCCCTGCCATGGACGCGGATCGAATCCTAGGACCTTCCGGTCAGAGGAACTGCATTGAAATCAATTGATGCCTCGAGCCACCTAATCCGGTTTGTGATTGCTATAGAGAGCTGTGTCACGCTGGTTTACATGCACGTAGAGACAGAACCAGAACCAGAACCAGAACTAGAACTTGTTTTACGCTGGGTCTGAGGAATATAACTAATTTAGATTCCATTATCAGATCATCATTAAATCAACGGGGTACCAATACAATTGAATACAAATTTAAACTAGTTGGGCTCCAACAGCACATACGTTTTCGCATTATTTCTAACTGCTTTGCTATAGTACTCTATTATATAAATATGTAATTGTGTTTTTAAGCAGCAACATTTTTTTCCGCTCTCTAGTGACCAGCTCTACCACAAAATCTTACGAATTAGATTTTCAATTATCTTTTTGTTTCATTTTTAAAAATTCCCCGTGGCCAATCTTTCCAACCTGTTCACTGAATCTCGGCAGGGCTGCTCGATGGCAATGATTCGTGCTCTTAACCCTGTAGATGTGGCAACCAAATATTGACAAGGGAGGACTAATTCTTCGTCCAACTCCGCAAATCACTCCAAACAACTCTCGCAGAGAGGAGATTACGAAGACGCCAGCATAACTTCACGCACGTATGCGGTTCGTGTTCATTAAGAAACATAATCTTTTTTGCGTCAGTAATTATGAGTGAATGTGTCAGTGAATCTTTTATGTTTTCGAGAACTTCAACTATTTTTGCCATTAGTCCCTCAGTATACTGCATTTTAGAGACTGGAGCTGACAGTGAGTTTGCTGCCCCACTGGAACTGGAGATCCGGCGCTGACGGTTTCCGGAACATTTTTGCCTTCCAGCTATCTCCTTCAACGAGCCACAACTCCATCCTGGACAAGCTCTAAGCTACCAATTGGTCTGTAGGAAAGTCGCACGCGGTCCGCGGGCCGTTACTTGTGTACTACTCTGGCATTCGTCTGAGTTTGACCACAGAAACCACGAAAAACTACCGAACAGAGCAATAGCTGATAGACCTCTCCTCTAGAGAATTAGTGACTCGGCTAAGCCAAAATCTTCCACTGACATCAGCTCGAAAATCCTCCACCAACTTCGGGACTGGAACCTTAGAACTTTCCGGTCATAGACGCGACAGCGGCAACAGTTCTTGACCCTACATCACGTCGTGTCGTCGATCCCATCAACCTCCTCATGCAACCTTATATAAGAATGCTTAGGGCCCTTACATTCCCATCCTTCTTTATCCAGTTCTATCCAAACATTGATGTCACAACCTCCGTACTTTATAAAGGTTGCAAAGTGAACTTGAGAATTTGTGGGCTGAAACAAGCTTGTTACTTGTTCATTATGCTCATCCGCACGTTTCTTTCCTTCAATTCCTATTTCTTCTTCTGAACCTGGGCGCAACCCAAGTAAAGGGGCGTTGAGCTTATTTGATATTTTCATTCGCCTACCGTTCGAGTTCGACAATTAATTAACACATATTTTATTCATGGATATAATTGAATTGCAAATGAAGGTCGTTCCTCGTTTATTACTGCTTTATATGTCACTTCATTAAGCGTATATTTATTAAATGTACATTTTGTTGCATATATTTCTTTCTAATTATTTACTGCTGTTTTTAAATTTTCGCCAATCTTGTGCAGAATTGACACTAAACATTTAATATACCGAATCATTTGTTTGCTCAACTCTAAGCTATTGCCGTTGCCTTGGTCAGTTATCCTCAGAATTACAGTTACTAAAAATCGATGATTTAATTCTTTTTTTAAATGCTTATTCTCCCTTGCTACCATATTGCTTTATCATCGAGATGGTAAAGGTGAAATGATCAAGTGATTGTGATTTATCTTTCGAACGTTATGAGTATTTAAATTATCGCATGACATTTGAATCCAAGCTCTTTATGACTCAACTTAATCTACTTAAAATCTCATATAAGAAGGGCTGGCAGATGTTTGTATATGACATGACTAATCTAAAAAGAAGAAGAAAAAGCTGAAGAAAAAGAAGAGAACGAAAATACTCAAATCCAAAAAAAATTAATAATTTTCCATTTTCTGTCTCTTTCGAATATTATTACAATAGCTTTACCCTGTTACCCATAATACGTATCCGCAATTACCAAGTACCCACGGATGACGAGCACCGTCAACACTCCAGGAGCGGTTCAGAAGGTCGTGAAATTTGAAACCCGGGCATGACTTGAACAGTAATTGTACTTACATTTAGACTCTTTGAAAGTTACAGTGAGACTTCTTTTGTTTCTTTTCCAGAAGTAATCTTACATTAAACGATTAAAGAAAGATTGCGTTATAAATGAAAATTTTATAAACAGGTTTCAACTTAGAAAGTGTGTTCGTTCAAGATAATAATATTAACAAAAGCATCTTCCAAACCCACAGTAAAGTGTCTAAAGAATTTTATCCAACAGAATCTTTGTTTACGCATGTGTGATATTAGGGATTAAGAGGGAGTCGAAGAACATGGTATAGAACATGGTAATAATAATAATAATAATAATAATAATAATAATTATTATTATTATTATTATTATTATTATTATTATTATTATTATTATTATTATTATTATTATTATTATTATTATTATTATTACATTTACAGCTTTACTAAAAATCTGGGTGGTAGTTCTCTTTAGTCAGATCTTAAAATTACTATTTAATTTTATAAGTAATAAAACTGAATTGTTATTTTCTTTTTATATGGAATCAAAAACTCACGATCATTTAATGGATGAAAGAAAAAGGTAGAGTTCAGTATTGGTCTGCCAATCTCATATGCATATTTTCGTTGAATATTGTTGTGAAAGAAAATAAGAAAAAGAAAGAAGGAAAAAGAAAGAAAGAAGGAAAAAGAAAGAAAGAAGGAAAGGGAAAGAAGGAAAGAAAGAAAGAAAGAAGGAAAGTGGAAGAAAGAAAGAAGGAAAGAGAAAGAAAGAAATAAAGAAGGAAAGAGGAAGAAAGAAAGAAGGAAAGTGGAAGAAAAAAGAAGGAAAGAGAAAGAAAGAAAGAAAGAAGGAAAGAGGAAGAAAGAAAGAAAGAAAGAAAGAAAGAAAGAAAGAAAGAAAGAAAGAAAGAAAGAAAGAAAG